TCAAATCACATTAAGCTCTCCCATATACCTGTAGCTTAGAAATGCTTTAAATCACTGCTTCAGGCTTTGTTAAAAAGAATAAGTAGCCCGGTTACATTTATATATTTTTAAGTACTCTACTAACGCTGCACTTATTTAAAATGATAGGAATCTATGATAGGTGATAAAGTGTTGATAAAGGTTGGACAAATGATTTACTCTCTAGAATGAGGACAGCATAGTTATGAGAATTAAATTATACAACATACTTGGTACATAGCAAGAATTTAACAAATATTAGCTCTTATCGTTGTTATGCAATAAAATCATTACTCACTCTTTTGTTAAGACAAATAACAGGCCACAGGCTGCAGCCCAGTGTGCAACAGCAGCAGAGACAACCACACAGCAGCCATTTCACATTGACTGGGAGAGCCTTTTTCAAGCATGCATTCACACGGCCAATGCTGGTCTTAAATTCTTCCGGGGCCACCTACAACAAGGGCATAATCTTTAACAGTTTGTGGGCAGCTTTCCACTCTTTATCTCTAAACCTGAAGAAAATGTTTGTCTTATTACAAATACTGTAAGGAATTACACATGTTTAAATACATTTCTTCCTTAGTTTCCCCTATAAATATATATTACATACTCCTGGCTGATATTAGAAAGCAAAATAATTCAATTTCATGTTTACAGAACTTATTCTGATGTTCAAAAACAATCTTCTGAAATTACCAACACTAATACGACAACAATAAAATTTGTGGTAAAGGATACCAATCGAGCAGTTTTTTTTTTTTTTTTTTTACCAAATATTCTCAATATTAAGGCAATATTGTTTATAGCCTCCACTTACTCTGGACAGAAGTTGAGTAACACTAGAAGCATAACATAACAATATCAATCTATAAACTACCAGAGGTAATGTAATTAAAATTAGACCTTGGCAATATTCCTGGATTACTTTTAAAAAGGTAACTCTCGAACCTTGTCTCCCTGGAAAACTACACTAACAAAAGACAGCGAGGAGTGATTACATTCAAAAACTGGTCTTTTTTAAAAACTTATTTATTTTTAATTAATTAATTAATTTTTATTATGGTGATGTTGGTTGACGAAATCCAGTAAGTTTCAGGTGTACTATTTAGCAGTTATATATATATTACTGCTTTGTGTGTTCACCGCCCATAGGCAATATATTGCATTGTGTGTTCACTGCCCATAGTTAGATTTCTTTCTGTCATCACATATTTGACACCCTTTTACCCCGTCTACCTCCCTTCCTCCCCCCTACCTTCTGGTAACCACTAGTCTATAGTCCATGTTCATGAGTCTCTGTTTAAAAACTGGTCTTAATATTCAGCATAAAATGGGCTTGTGACTGCTATTAAATTTAGAAAGTTGAAAGGTCCTTATATAAATTTAATATTTTTAATTACTACCTCTATTCCTGGAAGTGGCTGCTTATACTTCTCTGTAAACAATGACAAAGTCAGTATAAAGGCAAGAGCATGACAGGCATAATTAAATTTGTACAGAAAATTCTGCCTGAGGGTTATACAATTCAAAAGTATACTAAAGATAGTTTACTTTCAGTGAAATTATAGTTTTGAATCACAAAAATTATTCCCTTTGCTTTAGAAAGCCACCAGACTGTAAAATCTATGGGGGGAAAAGTCCAGCATCTGGCTGTGCAAGCAAAACTTACAAACTTCTTAGGAAAAAATGCTGCTGTAAAATAAAAACCAATCAGCATGTTTGGTATCAAAAATATAGAGTTTTACAACTTTTCCAAATAAAAATTATACTAATCAATTTATTACATTTTTGTCTTTTAAAAGACGTCTTAAAAATCAACACTATAAAACATACACTTATTAGCAGATGTTAGATACATGACCAGAATTCAGCACCATCATGAATAAAATGTTAATTATATTAGCTTTATTAATTCGTTCATTCCACCCAATAAGGTTAATTGCTTAACCCATAAATTTGATTGATTTTCTTCCTAATATGTTAACCAACAATAGCTGTGAAATTGTGAAGGTCAAAACTGTATTTACATGGGGAAAGTAAACTAATCTTATTCTCCATCTAGATTGTCAGCAATATGACCTAAATACAATCAATGAGTAAAAAGAATTCCAATTAAATGACTAAATTCCAGAGGTAAATATGAAAATAAATTAAGAACCATGGCTTATAACTGAAACTAAGTAAACACTAACAGGCTAAGCACATTAGATGATAAATCAAGATCTGGACTCCAGTTACTTATTAGCTATGAAAAATCCTAGGCAAACTCATTTAATTTTTCTGAGTTTTACTTTCCCATCTATCAAATGAGAATAAAAGTCTTTGTTTTATATACCTCACAGATAATGGAAATTATACCTTAGAAAGAACCTCCTGAGTAGAATGCTTTGAAAAAGGAAGTCAGGCAGGAATAAAGTGTTTTCTTTGTTGCAAAAAAAAAAAAAAAAAGATCTTCTTAAAAACAAGGTACCAAGTTGCTATCTTAAGATTTACCTCGAAAACAGTGATATTCGATTTCTTCTTTACTTAGTGAATCACTGAACAACCACATAGAAGTTAAAATGAGGAAAATATATATTTATCTCAAATCTGTAATACATTACTATCAATTCGCTATAAATTGTGTATCCAGAAACACTAACACATTTGTAAAACATGGCAAATTTTGATATAAACTCATGTATATCATAAGATTATTAAATCTGTACATTTAAAAATTTAAGTGTTTGTAAATAGAATTTAAATTTTTATTTAAAAAATAAATTTTTAATTTAAATTTTTATTTAAAAGTGTACAATTATAGCTTTAAAAAACACATAAAAGAGTGAGGCAAAAGCCAGAAATAAATTAGACCATAAAGTAAAACTTGCTCTTTGTTTAAAAATTTATATGCCAGGTACATAACATTTGTTATAAAATCTGTCTTTCATTACACGCTTCTGGAAATGAATTAAAAACATTTCTAAAATGTGGCAATTTTCCTTCTTCCTCAACAATACTTTACACATAAAACACATATGTCTTGATCTGTACTCTCTTACCATGTGCACATTGAAAACTAAAATACTCGAGTCACTAAAAATGAGAATTCAGATTTAGAAAAAATAAGTATAGTTGACATACAATTTTATATTAGTTTCAGGTGTACAGCATAGTGATTCGACATTTCTATATCTTACGATGTGCTCACCACACTAAGTCTAGTAACAATCTGCTACCTTGCAAAGTTATCACATTATTATTTACTATATCTCTTCACCTTTTTCAACCATCAAACTAATAAGTTTCTGCACAGCAAAGGAAACCATCAATGAAACAGAAAGACAACCTATTAAATGGGAGAAGATATCTGCCTATGATACATCTGATAAGGGGTTAATATCTAAAATATTTAAAGAACTCATACGATTCAACAACAACAAAAAGCAACAATTCAATTAAAAAATGGGAAGAAGACTCAAATAGGTATTTCTCCAAAGAGTAAATACAGATGGCCAACAGACATGTGAAGAGATGCTCAAGGTCGTTAATAATTAGAAAAATGCAAATTAAAACTACCATGAGATATCACCTCAAACCTGTCAGAATGACCATCATCAATAAACCAAAGAACAACAAGCGCTGGTGAGGATGCGGAGAAAAGGGAACCCACGTGCACTGTTGGTGGGATTGCAAATGGGTACAGCCGCTATGGAAAACAGTCTGGAGGTTTCTCGAAAAATTAAAAATGGATCTACCTTTTGACCCAGCAATCGCACTTCTGGGTATTTATCCAAAGAATACTAAAACAATAATTCAAAAAGATCTATGCATCCCTATGGTTCATGGCAGCACAATTTACAATAGCCAAAATATGGAAGCAACCTAAACGCCCATCAACAGACAACTGGATAAAGAAGTTATGGTTCATATATACAATGAGGTATTACTCAGCCATTAAAAAAAATGAAATCCTATCATTTGCAATGACATGGATGGACCTAGAGGGTATTATGCTGAGTGAAATAAGTCATAGAAAGATAAATACCATATGATTTCATTTATATGTGGAATCTAAGGAAGAAAAAGAACGAACTAATCAAAAACAGACTCGCAAATATAGAGGACAATCTGATGACGGCCAGAGAGGAGGGAGGTGAGGGGCTGGAGGAATGGGGTGAAGAGTTAAAGAAGGGTTAAATTAGAGTTGATAGATGGTCGTGGGGATAAGGAATGCAGTCAGCAGTAATGTAATGACTACGTGGAGGCCAGAAGAGAGAAAGAGCAATTTAGGGAGTCTTTTTACAAACTATATAAATGTCTAACCAATGTACTGTATACTTGAAACTAATAATTAAATTAAAAAATTTTTTAAATTCCATGGTTCTTTCATTTTCTGGTCACCAGAATCTGTGTGTATACACCTGCTTGATATTTTCTATCATGACAGGAGGAGTTATCTTTACTGAAATGCTGGAAACAATATTCTCTGCACTTAATACAAAAGATTACCTTTTACTTTGTGTTTAAAGTATTAACACATAACAAGCACAAAATTAATACCGAGCCACAGAGCTTGTCAAAATGGCTTCTTAGGTTTCCTGAATGCACTCTGCAATTTTGCTTAGTTGAGGCATGAAAGCTATGTAGAATCCCATTCCTGCAAAATTTTTTTGTTTCTTCCTCTCAGTTACCAGAGAAGCCTTTTAATAATGCAAAATAACCTATACAAATGAAACTCTGCCTACTGGAGAGAAATTATCCCATGAATGAGAAAATGAATACACCTTAAGCCACCACCAAATGACGGTTGGTAACTGAGTATTTTGTAACACAATGGCTTTTCTCTTTCTTCATCTACATTTCCTCCAGTAGCAAACATGTGCAAATAACCTTTTGCCGGAGTCAGAGCATTACTGTTGTAAGAGGTATTTGCAAAGTTTCAAATCCTAGGAAGTCTTTGACTACTGAATCTCAATATTGCAATGTAGTACTGAATGTAGAGGAACCGGGGAACAGAAATGTAATAATTTATTGCAGTTAGTCCGATTTTAGAAGCTCAAACAATCTAAAAGTCAGAAAAATGTCTAACACCAAAACCTTGACTTTTTTGATATACAACAAATCAGATCACAGGACACTTTAAAAAAAGAGAGATATAAAATTAAATAATGATAACTTTGTTCACTCTAAAAACACTGGAAATTAATGAACTAAATGAAAACAATTATAGCTACGAGGGCTGAGAAAAAAAGGCAAAATTGTAAAAACTGAACCAATAAGTAAATAATCGGTGGCATAAACGGACAATGAAAAAAAAACAGTTATAGGCTAGTAGTCATGGAGACAGATTTCAGTCACTAAGGACACAGGCTTCAAATACCCTGGCCTCTTATTATTAGGTTTCATTACCAGTGAGTCAAACGTTTGTCATAACACTGAGTAAGCCATAAAATAATGCTTTTAGAATTGAAAACTTCAAAGTAAACTCTCACTTACCTTCCCTGTTAGAACTGAGGGAAATTCAGTATCAAACTTGTTGCTCAAGCCAAACCTTAAAAACAAAGAACAAAATATATTCTACATGGCACTTTTAATTCTCTCCCAGTTTTTAAAAGAAGTTACAAAGCATTTTTCTTTTACTCTTGTGATTTTAAAAACATGTCCTAAAAATAATTTTATAACTGTTAATCCAAATTAACAGTAAAAGAAACTTAAAGAACAAATGTTAAAGTGAGATTCTAACTAGAACCACGACATGGATTAAAAATAATAAATTAGAGAAATATTGATATAGAGCTGGAATATAGTTTTTGACTGAAATGTTTCTTTTAAACCCCGTTTTAGTTGAGAACTGTTGGAATTGGCTGATGGGTAATATGTGAGAGTGGATTACACTATGCTTCCTCCTTTTATGCATTTATGAAAATTTTCCAAATAAAAACTAATAAAACCTTTGGAATGATAGAATTCGACAACTTATGATCAATTACTATTCAGAAACTCAAAGGTTGATCCCTATGAATGGTACATATATAATATATATTATACATATATATATATTCAACCACTTTTGAGAAAGTAGATCCCAACCTTGAAAGCTCTGACTCTTCAAGTATGTTGATTTAAATCTGTACTAGGATGTCAAAATGAATTTTATAAGCCTTCGTTCACTTACTTGTGGATTTCAGAAGGCATATAACAAAGGTCAATTCCTAAATGTTAGATTATATATCATACTTACTACAATTTTATGTTAGTGATTGATGGGTTATAAGCAAAAAGGAAAAGACACTAACATTTACTGAAAATGCCTTGTTGAAGTAGGCAGTAATAGCAGTAGTTACCAGTAACTATCAACTTTCCATGGGCCAGATACTGTACTAGGTAAGTACATCTAGACTTTATAACTCTGCAAGAGAGAGGTATTGTCACCCTAGTTTTACAGACAAAAAAACTGACACTCAGAAAAATTTTGTTTTCAAAAAGTAATCACTTAAATGACTTGCCCAAAATTATATATCTAGTAAGGGGGAATCAAAACTTAAATGATGATCCTTAAGTTCTTTTTGTCCTATTTTATGCTTCTTGAGAACCGAAACTACTGTTTATTTACCTTATTATCTTCCAGTACTAGCATAATGGAATCTAGTAGATGTTTAATAAAAGCTTGTTAAATAATAACCTACTGTACTGTTTCAGTCAATTGATTTATGGCATTTTGGTCTTGGGATCACTTTAAAGACATGGTAAGAATCTAATGTCCTATTAAATCTCTATGTGGAACTATCATATTCTCCTTGTATTATTTATGCTAATAGCTTTTTATCAAGGACACAAACCAGTCTTAAACACAAAGACTCTCTATACTTAGCAGCTAGTAGCAAGGCACATATCTGTGCATAAAAATACTACACCTGTATGTTTAAAATGTATTTTAAAACAACAAATTCTATATTTTAAAATAGTTGAGAAAATTAATTAGCAATTATAAAAAGAACTTAACTTCATTAAAAAAATACTCCATTACTTCTCCAGGTGTCCATACATGCAATGAGGGCATAATAGTTTCATAATAACATTCTCATAATCACATTTCCTTTAAATCTATACATAGGCACAGGAGTACAGCCAAACTTAAAAACAAGAGAGTATACCCCTGTATATGAATTTTTATGGCAACTTTCATATGCTGTTTGAGAAACTGACATTCTTGTGTATATTTGCAATTATGTACTAACTCAGCAATCAATAACATGACAAATATTTAATAGAGCGAGAAATGTATTTCATTTAAATCATATTTAGCTAAATAGTGACTTTATCACAAGCCAAAAAGATAGAATTTAATTCATTATTCCACAAAGAGTGAATTCTTATTGTGTAAGAAGCAATACATACAGGTTTCACTTTAGAAAGTACACATAATACATTTTAAGGTAGAGCTCCAATTCTATATCTTGTCTAAGTATCTTTTAGATGCTATGCCAATAACGTGTTCCTCCTTCCATTAGACTGCTGACATTTTAACTTTTCCCAGCTGCCATTCTTTTACTAGATATCAAATATGTGGAGGATATAGACAGATACATCTCCCCAAATGTATGGAATATTCTTATTATTTTAAAAATTCTTAGCTTTCCGCTGTTTCCATTTCCTCCTTTTCTTAGCCTTTTGTAATTGGACTTTTGATGTTGTCATTTTACTGAAAATCAATCTCTTATTCAGTAAATTTATTCAGAACAACTTCATCCTATCCTTATTCATAAATTCTATGTCCTCTTCTCAGAACTTTCCCCCTTGACTTTGCAGCTTCTAACACTGTTGATCACACCGTTCCTAACACTCTTCTATTCTTTCACTTTCTCCTAAAAGTCTTGCGTTTTCCCCCAAATTTAGCTTTTAGTCATGTGCTTCTCTTTCTAAGGAAGGTGTAACAGTTCATGTATATTTAATAGCTTTGACAATTACTTCTATGCTGATGACCATCAAATTTATACCTCTAGTTTTATATTTTCCAACATGCTGAACATTTCCATTTGACTATCTTGCTACAAAATAATAATAGCGCAAGTCAAACATGTCTACAATTAAAATGTTATCTTTTATTGAAATTGGCTGCCCCTCTTAAATTGCTCATCTCTATCAATGGCACATTGACTCTCCTAACCTAGACTCTGGTATCGGTTTTTGCACGTTGCTTATATTCCGGCGGTCCCAAGTGCTGTTATTTGTTCCTTTGAAATCATTCTCATAAAGATTCTTTTCATCTGAGTGCCACTGCCATGTTGGCTCTTGTCTTTGCTCATGTGGTTCCTCTTGTTTCCCCTCCGCAGTTTAAATCTTATGCAGACTTCGAGGCTCAAGTCAAGTTCCAACCTCTGCTGTAATGCCTTGAATGGTCAAACCTTTATGGATTCCCCCTTACTCTGAACACTCACAGACACTTCTAATATGTACTATACAATTTAGCAGTCACCAAATTCGTTTTATTCTTTGCTGTTCCACACCATTATCTTAGAGGTGGTTTTCCTGTTAGCTTTGTAAAGCAAGGGCTGCACTTTGTTTTTCTGTATGCTTCACAGTGCTTATTAGCCCACCGCTCAAGTCCTCAGGAAATACTTGCTATATTCACATTACTCATTTTTTACTCTAATATAAAAAGGGATTCTCTTTTCCAAAGTATAAAAAGTAGAGTAGAAATGGTAAGGAAAGTATCATTTTACTTCTTAAAATACTCCTTTATGGCTTATATACATCTATTTCAAAATGTATAAAGACAGGCAAACTAGATCTAATATACTTTCATAATTTGGGCTAAAAGACTACTTAACTCAAATAACCTTACACACAACATTTCACTCAACATTAGAACAATGTTGAAATGACTGCTGCTGAATCAACACCTCAGCTCTGCTTCATAAACAAACCAGTAAGAATGATACGTCAACAGAGGTTAGACAAGCTCGTCTACCCATTACTGATCACTGATAGACATTAGCGAGGATGTGGGGTTCTTCAGCATGAGACAAATGGGCGCTTGGGAAGTGCTCACGCTGTCATTTACTGGCTTCATTAAATATAGAGCCTATTATGTGTTTGAAGTGGAACCAGCTGGTGGTTTTCAATGATTGCATTTTATTTGTCAAGTGTCTTCAGTACCCCAAATTTTAATTTCTTGGACAAGTCTTTAGATTAAAGGAAATTGAGGCAAAGAAGGATAAGTCCTCTTAGTTGCTCTTCCCTCTTCTCTCCCTCCTTACACTCCTCACTGTTCTTAATTCTTTTGAAATTAGTTATACATCAGCTTTTAAAAACTCTGCAGAAATTAAAGTTCTCATATTGAAGTTGTTTAACAGATCAAAGCGTAGTAAAATTCTGCCAACAAGAAACATGATTCAACCAGAAAACTAGGCACTTAAATAGTAACAGTGATTCTGAAGCATGTACACTGAACTTTAACTATACCAAGGAAAAGGAAAATCTATGCCATATAGCTAATAGAGATTTTCAAAAAAATATTGTTAAATCTCTTTCAATCTTTCATATGGAAACAATCATGTCTTGCCACACTGTGAAACAGCAAGTGTTACCATAGGTTCAGTATTCTCAGACCCTAAAATCTTATAAAATATTTACCTTATACAAACACAAATGAACAATTCATCACTGTAATTCCTCAAAGACAGGTAGTTACAGAAAAGACATTCCATTCACTGATTTGAGAAGTATTAAAATTTGTAGTGCTCTACAAGATTTTGCAGAAATACACTGTTTGGCAAATTTGGCCATCTTTTTCAATTTTATATGTAATAACTTCACTTATTTTAATTTTAATGAGAAATTTCATAAATGCTTGAGAATTAGTCACCTATCATCTTTACTAACTTCTGTACAGGTGTACTATCAAGGGTAAATATCTATATATATTGAGTAATACGAAGAGTGTTATAATGTTCACAAGAAATCTCATGAGATATAATTTTCTAATACACTGGATCCAAATATTTATCTTAAAAATATCAAGAAGAAAAGTGATAGATACTGTTATATCACTCAGATGAATAGTATTTCTGAAACACTTAATGCTTCCAAAAGACATTTAATCATTTCTGTTCCTGTGGGAACTCATTTACCCATACTTTTTTATTTTTGAAATTTGGAAAAAGATCCCCAAATATCCATTTATGATCATCATCTCAGAACTGGAATTACAATTAGCGTGGTTAAGTAATTCTATTTCTTAAGGAATTACAATTAACTGCATGTTAAAAAATTAATACCTTGTTAAAGTAACTAGAAAGCTAACAAGATATAAGTAGACGGGTAGTCTGACACATAAGGGTTTGCTTATCAAAGCTTTCAAGAGGTAAGGCTCTGCCATACCTCACATCCTCGGTACTGGTGATATTATTATATTCATATATATCTATGCTCAGAAACACAAGTATTCTCCATGATTCAACTAACTAGTATTTGCTGAGGGCCTATAATATAGTATGCACTGTGGTGGGCATACTGAGTATCATTAAAGTGAACCAACATTTGACTCACTTTTATTGTATACTTCAGAGTAGGCACTGTACCAGGCAATGAGGATTCAGAGGGAAGCAGAAATTGTTCCTGCTACTGAGGTTTATAATTTGTGGGAGCAGAGAAGACTTGCAAGAGTTGGTGACATATGGGAGCTGGGGCGAGGGCAGTGGGTAGTATACTAGATGAAGGCCCCATCTGGAGCAGAGGCAAAGAGATAAGAAACAGCATGTTATGAACAGGAAAATATAAGAAGTAAGGGGAAATGTCAGGCTGATAGATCAGTAGGGTCCAGTTTTATCTGCCATGTTATAGAGTTTAGATTCTATCCTGCAGGTGAAGGGAAAATTACAGAATACTCTTAAGTGGGAAAGTGTTATCTCAATCCAGCAGCAGGCTGGATGAATGTGAAGGTGACGAGGGTGAAGGCAAGACTACTAGTGAGTATGGTGAAAGGGGCCTGAATCAAGGAATTGGTGGTAGGAAGGAAAAGAAAAGTTTAGGTCATATATTGTTAATACCTGCCGATTGCTTAGCTATGAGAAGTGTGAGTAGGAAAGAGGAACCAAGGACGAATAATGGAATCAGTGGGCATACATTTAACTAAGATGAAGACTACAGAAAATAGGAGCAATTTTTGAGGGGTTGGGATGGGGGTGTGAGAGTATGTGTATGGGGGAGAATATGTTTTGAATATATTGAATTTAAAATAACAGTGGGCCAGAAGGTGAGGAAGAGCAGAAAAGAGTCTGAGCAGAGTCTGGTACAGAGGTACATAGTTGAGAGACATCAGATAATTGAAACCATGAGAGTCAAGATGAGGCCATCTTCGGAGAGTAAGGAATAAGAGGAATAACAAGCTGAGGACAAAACCCTGGAGATCACTGGTATTCAAAGGGCAAGAGAGGAAAAGAATGAATGAGGCAGCTAAGGAATAGCTAGAAAAATATAAGGAGAACCAGGAGACTGAAGTGGCCAAAGAATTCCTAGGTTTGGCTGAAAAAAAAAATATATTTTTTAAATCAGAATTTAAATACCTTTAGGTAAAGCAGACATTCCAGTTCAACTAAGGTCTCATCATTACTCACGCTGCATCATTTTCTGTGACCTGTCTTGCCTCTGAAGGTTTGTGTGTTTGCGATCCCTAGAGTAGAAGCCTCTAGGAAATAGGGAGCCATATGCAGCCACGGGGACTAGAAATATAGGGAACAAAAGATGCCCACTAATTTAGCAACAAGACGGTCATGGGGGTCTTAATAAGCTCAGGTCATGGCGGCAGGATCCAGATTACAGAGGGGCGAAGAGGAAATAGATATAGTGAATGTAGTTACTCTTAAGAAATTTGGAGAAGGGAAGGAGACTAGACAATAGCTAAAGGGCAATGTAGGTCTGGGAATGCTTTTGTTTTATTTTGTTTTTAAAGAATTAGACTCTGACTATGTTTACAAGCTGGACAGTAGAGAGGCAGAGAGGAGTCATACTATAGAGAGACAGGCTGCCTGATGGAGCAAGATCTGGGTGGAGGCTAAAAGAGAAGTGTATGGAAGGCACAAGTGGAGGGATGAGCTTT